CCTCCCCACCCCTCCCCACTTACCTGCTTCAGGCTTCCCGCGAATCAAATGTTCGCGGGAAGCAGGGGAGGGGGCGGAGTTGGGGCGGGGACTTTGGGGAAGGGGCGGAGTTGGGGCGTGGGCGTGGGCGGGGCTGGGGGTGGGGCCGGGATCGGGTCAAGTGTCCTCCTTTTGGAGGCTTGAAATATGGTAACCCTAACTAAATTAGCATTATGTGTACTTAAGTATTACTTCAAGGATGGTCCAGTGATTAAGGTGCTAGGCTAGGACTTGGGAGACCTGGCTTCAAGTCCCTGCTCTCCCACAGACTTCCTGTGGCAACTCTGGGCTAGTCCCTTGAACTCTTGGCCTCAGTTCACCATCTGTAAAACAGGAGTACTAGCACTTCCCTATCTTACCAGGGTGATGTGAGGATAAATATATTAGCAGGTTTGAGGCATTCAGATACACAGTCCCTATTAGTGTAGTAAGTACCCAAGATAAATAGATACAAACGATGAATTTGGCTTAAGTTTAAATTTACTCCAACACTACTACACTACTATAAATCACTACCCAGGAAGTAGACACCACCTTAAAATGTATTTTTAATCACATAAGTATCTGAATGTAAGTGGCTGCACAGACAGTCACAAAATAAACTTTGTCTTTAAATGTTCATATTGCAGTGTTAGTCTACATGCACCCCATCCTGAAACCCTCAGAGCAGCTTCTCTGTGACCACTACAATCACTTGTGCAATACATTTTCTTATACTGAAGAACTGAAATGTAAGTGCACTCTGCTTTTGGTGTAAAGTAACATTCTAAAGGGGTAAGTTAAGTGCAGGTCTAAAGACTATATTGTGGCAGTGAAGCCACAGTGTACATTGGAGTGGTCATGGAAACATTCCACCATAGTGGAGTCCCCACAAACATTTTGGCTACCTCAGCCAGAATTTCCATGAAGGTACTAGGAGGGCTAAACATCACAGAGCCAGGGCTGCCACACCTTTAGCAGGGTACAATAAGCACTCTCCTTAAGCCAGTTCAGGTAATTCGGAGGGGGAAGGGCGGCCAGCATATCCCTCATCCCCCGCTGCTTCCTGCAGCCCCCATTGGCCTGGAGCAGTGAACCGCGGCCAGTGGGAGCCGCGATTGGCCGAACCTGCAGACGGGGCAGGTAAACAAACAGGCCCGGCCCGCCAGGGACTTTCCCTGAACAAGCGGCGGACCGGCTTTGAGAACCACTACTGTAGACTCTCCTGGTCCTCATATACCAGGATAGCAAGCACAGGGATTGTGCCCAGCCCCTCACTGTATTTGCACCCTCTTCCGCTCGTGCACCACAAATCTGTCCTCCAGGGTGATATAATATTAGTGTATTCTGAGTGATATCATCTTCATATCCAAGTAGTTATACATATCCCAGAACACATACCGTAGGAGAGACAACATTTATGTCTAAATCTGAGGCAGTGATATTATAAAGTTAATTACCCTGAGCATTTTTTACTCCAGTCTCTCTCATTCCATCATCAGAATCACTGTCTTCGCTACTGCGCCGCAAAGCAGCTATTTTTCTTTCTAGCATTTTTTTCTGTGTAGGAAGTAGAATGATCATATTTATTTTCTGTCAGAAATTTTTCAAGAGCGGGATTTTTAAATATATTTTAAAAGGAAGTCTACTGAAGACAAACCTTAGACATTCTCTCTTTACTCCACTGACCAACTCCTTTCATGACACTGACAATACTCTCCACAGCTTTATTAAGTGTTTGCTGTACCTCATCCAAAGCTGGCATCATAACGATATTTGGGATAGACAAGTTAATGCTAGTCCGAAAAATAGGCTGAGCACTCTGTTTTTGCTTAGAAGCACTGTCATTGTCTAAAGGAAAAACAAAACCGATTGTTATAAGTAGAGTTTTAAAAACCTGTTCAGTATTCTTTATTTTGTCCATAGATATGAAACTAAACCAATTTACAGTGATCTGTTCTCACCATCTATAGCTTTTTTTAAATATAGCATATTGGAGGTTACTGAACTTAGTATTGTTTAGGGGAACACTTATTCCAGCTACTTATTTTGTAACTGAGGCTCCATTAAAAGACTCTGAAGTCAATAGCAATACAAAAATCCTCTAAACTCTTATGCCATTACTTTATGCACTCTCCCCCCACCACAACAGCTGATTGGTACACAAACATTAGAACAAAACTATCGGCAAATAATCTGATTTGTGCACTCAAATACAAATTTGTAAATAAAGAACATAAGAACGGCCGTACCGGGTCAGACAAAAGGTCCATCTAGCCCAGTATCCTGTCTACCGACAGTGGCCAATGGCAGGTGCATAGGAGGGCGCGGCCCAGCATGCCTGGACCAAGTAAACTCCATCCAGCTTAAATGTATTATTCT